CCTGGCCCTCCCTCGCCTGGACGTCCTCCCTGCACCTGGCTCTCCCTGCACCTGGCCGTCCTCCCTGCAACTGGCCCTCCCTCGCCTGGACGTCCTCCCTGCACCTGGCCCTCCCTCGCCTGGCCGTCCTCCCTGCACCTGGCCCTCCCTCGCCTGGACGTCCTCCCTGCACCTGGCCCTCCCTCGCCTGGCCGATTTGCCTGTGCTGGCCTTCAGTCTTTCTTTCTCTAGAACCTGGCTTTGGGAATGTCCATGCTCCAACCCACGTGAGGGATGGAGACAGGAAACCTTCGTTTGTAACTAAAGCCCGACGCTTACAGCCAGCTGACGCCCAACCTCTGCCCTGCTTGGAACATGGCAGGTTGAAGCCTCRTCCTGTGGACTCAGGAGTGGACAGAAAAGGAGACACTTCCGAGAAGAGAAGGAGCAGCACAAACGCTGCACCCTGGGGACCTTTCCTCTGTCCTCGCTGGTGGTGGCTTGGCTCCAGGAGTGGCCGTGAACCTCGCACCATGACTCTGGGGCTCAAGGGTGCACCCCGGGAGCAGCCACCTCCTGCGGCCTCCAGCCAGGGACAGCCCACCGCCCCAGCAGGAGGCAAGTTGTCCGTGTTCATAAGCTGTGCAGTGGGTGCTTGCTGCTGAGTGTGTTAGAAGCCACTCAGCTGTGACTCCACTAGCGTGCCACCCAACTAGGGGAACACCAGCGACTGCAGCGGGGCTCACCAAACCCCCAACGTCCATCCACTGTCAGCCACACCCACATCAGACAGAAGTCAGCCCTGCGAAGGAAGCCACCGTGGACGGCCTCTGAGATGCAAACAGACGCAGTGCCCAGCAGTCCCCTCCCGGCTCCTCGTCCCCAGAGGAAGGACCCGAACGCTGGACGTTAGAGAAGTTACTTCACCAGTCTTCTCAGCTCAGCAGCGTGGCTGCAGCACAGAACTCAGAGATGAAGACAGAGGACGCCTGGTGAGGCCAGGAGCCCCCTAGAGGGTCCCACCCAGGGCCCTGGAGGGCAGACCACCCAAGTCCCTGCTCTTCTCATGGCGCTCAGACTCCAGGACCGCTGAGCAGGATGCTGRAAAGGAGGGAACGGGAGGGGCTCCTGGGGGCTCAGCACCTTGGGGGGCTGGGCTGTCCTCTGCTGTGCCCTCAGGAGCTGCACTGGACTAGTGGGGGAGTGACCAGGTGGGCCTCCTCATAGGGACAGCAGTGACAGTGATCTTGTGAGCTCAGGGGTGACTTCCTCAACATAGCCAACCTGGGACCTAGAGGTGCCAGCTGACCCGGTCACAGTAGGCCAGGGATGCAGCCTAAGTCGTGCTGCACAGAGGAGCTTTTACATTCCAGGGGGAAGATGTGGGCAGCCAAGCATGGGGCCACTAGCCTTGGTGTCTGGCTGTGTCCGGATGGGCTCCGTGACACTGCTCGGCAAGGTGGCTTGCACCAACAGTTTCATTGCAACAGGGGCTCGAGCTGGCCACCGGACTGTCTGTGTCAATACCAAGGGTCCTGAAGAGGAGGGTCAGCCCGGCTATGCACACCACTGTAAGGCAGCCACATAGCACGTTCCCGAGGGCGGCCAGCTCCTCACCAGCTCCATTGTGGGCGGTTCTGAGACATGACCAGTCCACCAACTGAAACACCTGAGCTGCTCCCAGAGGGGCCAGGGGGCCAGGGCAACGCCACATTCATGGCAGCCACAGCCAGCGCCCCCATGAGCTCCACCAACCAGGCCCGAGGAAAGGGCACATTTGCCCGTGGCACCCACCACTTTGGCAGGAGGCAAGCCTGAGCCAGGAGTGCAGAATGACATGTGGACTCCACACGGCAGGACGGGCAGAGTGGTGTGCTAATGGGTCCCCTCTGGGGCGATGGCGTGGCTCTCTCAGCCCCCGCTGGCCCTCCATCCAGCAGATCCGCGGTGCACTCCAGGACGCATTCAATATTAACTCCCACTGTTCCGAGCTGCGGAGGCTGGGAGCTACTGCTCCCCTACAGACTGTGTGAACAGCTCGCTCGCTTTAAACAGAACCTGGTGTCACTTCCCTTTGACAGAGAGTAACGCCAAACCAAGAAGTACCACCCRGAAGGCCTGGGTCACACACAAAAACATCCCCAACAACTGACCAGCAAAACTGCCCAGCTCAGCACAAACATGCTTTTCTAATTCGTGAGAGTACCGGGGCAGGCCGGCCACGCAAGCTTGCTCACAATCACTAATTAATAAAGAACTGAAAGAAACAGATCAATAATTCCCAGAGGACAGCGCAGCGATGGGTCAGAGAACTTTGCCCTGATGGAGAACGTGAAGGATGGGGACTTGCTGGCAGTAGAGAGGAGCAGGGACTGGCTCAATGGCAGGCGGGTGTCCTGGGACCCACAGACCTGGCACCAGTCACCTGTAAGCAAGCCAAGACACCTAGCAAGATGACAGTGACCACTGACGCAGAGCTTGCAGGGCCAGCCAGCATTCTGGAAACCTGCGGGACAGCGGGAGGACAGGGCGCCAGCATCCCTGAGGCTCTGGAAACCTGCGGGACAGCGGGAGGAGTGCCCCCAGGCCTGCCAGCAGCCGGCAATGAGCTCCTCCCATCTAAGGTACGCTGCGGCCAGCGGCCCTGGCTTCCTGGACCCCGCCAAGGCCTGTGATCTTCCTTCTCCACCGATGTTGAGAGACAGCGCCTCTCAGGAGCYGTGGGACACGCGTGGTTCTCACGGGTCGGCAGGGCTGGTGTGGGACAGTGGGGTCTACAGCAGGCTCGGTGCTCAGGGCGYCCTTTCCTCTTGGGTGTCTAGGGACGCCCCATCCTAAGTCATGTGGGTAGCTTGCTATTCCTTTCCTACTGTCCACTGCCTAAATTATTAAAAGAGAAGGAAGTCAAAACTTTCAAATGATTTTAAAATCTGTACTTTAAATTTATGCCTATATAAAATTCATCTGGTCCAAATGTGGCAGAGGTCTTCCCATTGGTGAAATCCGGTGGCTTGTTTCTSTTTCGTGGGAGCGAATCATTTCACGCTCCCCCCCCCCCCAGGAGTGGGCATGTTTGGAGAAGTGGGTACAGCCCTAGTGATCAGGGACCATGACCTCAACCCACACAGTGATGGACTGGGCATCTATGGTCAGCTGATGTGATGACTGCCTGTTTGGGCCCCAGCTTCCTGCTGGGACCAGCCAGGGGACGTAGACACACCCCAGACCATCACTTGCTTTTGCTCTTGCTTCTATATCATCACTAACTTAGACTCCACCGCTCACAGAGGCTGTCTTTACTGCCTGTCAGCCCGACCCGCCAAATCCAGCGACTGCATGCACATGAAGCACTCCGATGTCACAGATGGTGACACGTCCTCTGTTCAGAGCAAGCCACAGGTGATTAAGGCAGTTATGGTTCACAAACCCTGAAGGCCAAGGGCAGGTGACGCCTTGTGGACGTTGGACTCTTGCTGCCGAGGCCCACCCAGGCAGCAGCTGAGAGGCTGTGGCCTGCAGCCCTACCTGGGAAAGGAGGCAGGGAACCGCCACCTCACCAGAAGGAGGGCAGGAGAAGCCACCTCCCAGGGCAGGGAGGAGTGTTCCTGCAGGGTCTCGGGACTGTCCACTGAAACTCAGGGGCCACTGGTCCAGTCTGACGGGGTTCCCCAGGAGTCCAAGCAAGGTCCTGGGGGCTTTGTGGTGGAGCTGTCCCTTACAGAAGCACTGCAGCCACATGTCTGGCCAGAGCTGGTGCCTGCTGATACAGAAGCCACTCTCAGTGTCGAAAGACAACAGGAGAGATTGGCGGATGTGTCCCCAGCTGTCTGCGGATGGCCTTCAAGCACAGGCAGGGGAGTGCGAGGGGAAGGGCTCCCAGCGTTGGCTCCGCAGGCAGGAAACTGGCAG